TCCTTGTAGCCTTGGATGACCAATCTGGATTTCTCATAGGGCTTTTCGGTCTTGCCTTTGATTTCGCGCACCATTCGTGACTTAAATATGCGGTGCTTGCCGTGATGAACTGGGTCATACAGCTCAAAGCTGAACACACCGCGGCCAATAAGGTCATCTATCTCCTTTGTGTCCGACTCTTCGAATGGAGCACCGGGAGTTGTGATGACACCATCGTTCCGCAGCTTGACAGCGAGATCGCGGTCGTTTTTCTCTTTTGTGCTTAGGAAGGCATCATTGGTCCTCTTCGGTTTGTTCTTGGAGCCGGGAGGGCGACCTCGTTTGCGTGGTCGGGGTGGTTCAGGCTGTGGATCATGCTGTCCTTGGGGCTGCTCGGTCTCACCATCTTGGTCATGGTTCGAGGAGCTCGGAATAGGGTCGGTAGCGGCGCCTCGGTAGTACGGTTGGAGTAGAGTAGATCTGAAGGTTGCAGGTCCATTTACCATATCCAGCGTCACGTTGTGGCCATCGGTAGCAGCAATCTTGTAGGGTCCCTGCCAGCCATCCTTCTCACGCCAGACCCGAACCTCGCTCTGCAGCGGGAGCGCGAGGACGTCGGTGGTAGACGGGCCGTTGCGCGTGTTGAGTGCATCGTTCACCTGTCGCTCAGCTGCGACCTTGCGAAGGACCTTCATCGCCTTTTGGATTGCGTCAGAACGCTTTAGAGTCGATGGCGAGGGCGGAGAGTCCAATGTCATGCGGGGGTATGCCCCGAACACGAGAAGGGTAGGGACTAACCCATCAGGTCCAGCCGTGTCGTTTACTGCTTTCACGGCCATTTGTAGGATTGCTTCGACTGTTGTGCTGCTTCCGAGTTCAGTAGACAGAATCTCAAACGCGCGGCGTAGTGGTGAGTGATATCTCTCGAGCTTGCCGATTGACCAGTGGGCCTCGACTGGCGCCTGTTTGCATGAGATGCCTAAGACCTTGGCCTCGTTGTGGAATTCCGTAGAGGCAAAGTTTGTGCCGGCATCGTGGGTGATGATATCGGGCGGGCCTTGGTAGGTGTCGATCCAGAGCGAGCGTAGTACTTCCCAGGTATCTTTGGCAGACATCGATGGTAAGAATCGGGCGCCTTGGAAGGCTGTAGCTGAGTCGACAACATGGAGAACGGGGCGGTTGTTGAGGTACATCACGTCTACCAGGATCTCGTAATTGAATTCATGGTCGTCCTTAAGGGTGAATTTGAATCGTCTCGGTGCCGTGCTGTGCATTTGACAGTGATGACAGGACTTGGCAATCATCTCTAAAGTCCCTTTATCGACATCGTCGTGACCAGCCTTTTCCAAAAGTTGGTATAGGCGGTTGGTCGCTGGGTGCCCGAAGCGGCGGTGCAGGCGCCGTAGTTCGATTTCGGAAAGAAAGACACCTGCGTTCTCCGTTTTGCTTAAGAAGAACCACGGGTGGCCCCATTTGCGGATCACCGGGATGGTCTTCTTGCCTCGAATGAGTTCGTCCGTAGTGTTGTTGAAATAAACTCCAAGGCGGTCCATATCGGCAAGGCACAACAGGAAGGGTGTAGGCGTGTCGAGCACGTGGAACTTCGTTGTTCCAATTGGTGTCTCAATTGTGACAGTACCAATTGAGGTCGTCGTTGAGCCTTTTCCGAACCGGATTGATGCCTGACCAGCAGTTGATTCATCCATTTGGACTGATGGATCCTCACGCTGAAGCGCGAGATACTGCTCTTTGCCAGCAGTGGAGACTCGTGCAGCGCCTGTATCAGGAAGAATACCTTGGAATCTCATCTTCGAGTACCGGTCTTGAATCATGAATTGAGTGGCGGGGACGTCTGAGTTGTTCGTGCGAAAGACATCTTCGCCGGTGAGCTGGTGCAAGAAAGCCTGGTTAGTGAGGTATTGACAAGTCTCGACTAAGAAAGTATCAGATTCATCGTACTCTTCATCATCATCAGACTTTTCGTCCTGGGGCAACTGCTGATTCATCTCATGACCTTCGTAGTCGGTCAGATAGGTTGCGAAGTCGTCTATAGTGGTACCAGTGAAATTGCAGTGGGCGACGTACGCGTTGCGGGACTTGCGGCGTTCTTCGTCAGTGTGCTTAGTTGACCAGCATCCTTCTTTGTGGCATACGAAGCACTTCTTCTTCCAGTCACGGGGTCGAACGTCACGGCGGCCTCCTCGACTTTGTTTGCGGGGGTCGTCACGACGGCTTCCTCCTCGAAAGTTGCCTCGGCCCCTTCTGCTGTTATTGTAGCGGCGGTCGAGGTAATACTGGCCGTCTTCGGCATCATCCATCATCATCTGTTGAGTGGAGACACGGCTCATATGCGTCTCAATTGATGAACGCATGTCTGAGAACAGTTCCTCACACAGTTTGGCTGGCTTGAATAACGCGTGTTCAAGTTCGGGTACTCCTCGGCATGCTTTGATCACAGCAGTGCGGAGGTTGGCTTCACCGGCGTAGTCTGGACCAAGTGCGCGTTGGCACAGTTGGAGCTTGTCCAGCAGGGTCTGTAGGACTTTGTGCATGTTCTTTTCGGTCGACTCTTGACGCATTTTATTGAATGTAGTACTGGTCCAATCGGTGTAGTAGTAGTGGTGATTGACCTCGGTGTCAAAGTGTGTTTTTATTTTTTCATACGCCGCGGCGAAGGTGTCGTCCCGATTGATGTAGTGAAGGTAGTAGGCTTCCGCTCGTCCAGTGAGGATGCGAGGAAAAACGGCGTGGAACTGCTCTGGGCGAATCTCGGCATGGTAGCAGATGTTAAAGAACATGCGGAGTTTATCTTCTAGTAAATCATATGGCTCGCCGGTGTACTTCTTCTTCCGATCGAATGTCTTGACAAATTGTGAAGAAATGCTAGGATCGAGGCGCGCGTTGGGAACTGGGCGTGGAGGAAGTGTACTGTACGGATCGTACGAAGGGAGATTCGGTTGGGGCATGTACTGCATCTGCACCGGGTAGGGAGCGTATGGTGCTCGTGACCATGATTGTTGCGGCGGCGGCGGCGGGAACGGCGTTGTCTGGCTCGGCAGTGTCGTACCTTCTCTCGGTGGGAGCTGTGGTTCTGACGATCCAATCGGCCAATTCATCGGTTGGTGGACATTGTCTTGCTTGTTTTCTGGTTGTACATGAGGAGAGGGAGGAGGTTGTTGCTTAACTGGGAGTATGGGCTTGTCGGACTGGGGGTCCTGTTCGTTTGGCTCTCTTTTCTTCTCCGACATCTTCGGGCTTGAGCGTAGCAGTGCTTGTTGTTTTTCGAAAGCACGGGACTGAGTGTCAAACTTCGCAGTGCGGAGCTCGTCTTCATTCCACTCGGGGGCTTCCTCTAGTTGTATCATATGGGCAAGCTGTTGCCCTATCCTGCCATTGTTTCTGCCTGTGTAGACTCCGTGAAATCGGAGGAAGATCTTCAGTTCGCGCCGGAAGGGCATGTACACCGTGTCGAACATATCTTTGTTCCAAGTCTCAAATTCCTCACGGAAGGCGTAGAACACGTCATCATCGTACAGTTGTTCAAAGTCGTAGTTCTGAATAGCTCTGGCGACGAAGGTCGTGAGATGTGTCGCATTTGAGGTCGGGGAGATTGGGGAGTGCCACAGGTCGGGCTCGATGACATTCCATTCACTCTTGTTGACGCGGATCCCTTCCATGAGTTCTTCGCGCGTGTACTCCATTTTTCGGGGGCTTGTGCTTGAATCGCCTGTGTCGCTAGCCCTGTTGCTTGAAGATGGCATATCGGGCGGAAGCGAGGTCAGCACGTTGTGTTTTGGTTATTTTGCGTGGAATCAGCTGCTCAATTGGCACAGCTTCTAACGTGATTTTCGGTGGTATTGTAGTGCGGAATTGGTCTTCTGCCAGAGAGTATAGCGTCAGGCGCCAGGGAGGTCTTTGCAAAAGTTCGTACTGTTGTTTGCGTTGGAGGACGCGCCGGAGGTTTGCGAAAAAGAAAGCTCGACGGCTTATTGCTTTGCACAGAATCTTCTCTCGAGAGTATGGCTTCAAGCGCCAGGGAGGTCTTCGAAGATGGGATCTGTCTCTTCTTCCTTGCTGTCTGTGGTTGACCAAATCAACCACTGATCAGTGTTGGGAGGGTCTGGTGCACTAGTGCTTAAAGAGATAACAGGAAACGTATTGCATTCATTCTTGTGGTTCTACTTCTACTTGGTGTTCTCTGCGGGGAGAACACATATCGTGGTGTGTGGGAGCTAGTCCCATATGGGCTAGCTCCACCCAGTACGGACTCACACCAGAGGGCATTGACACCTATGATCCAACACTAAGCGTTTAATTTGGAATAATTACGATAAGACTAAAAGAGGAGGGGTTGGAAAAGATAGATGAAATGGCATTTCTAGCCAGGAGGTCGAAGCAACATCATAGCATAATGTCTCCTGACATTACTTGGCTCGGTAGCAAGTATTAGGCTCATGGGAAAGTTATCAGTCAGCAGATTCACGAAGCGGATTAAAAGTTTTAAGTATGTGTTGGTAGTAGCTAGAGATTTCTTGTCTCTTAACATAGTTTAATAAAACGATCAATTCATCACCAACTTATTTTCCGTCAAGGTTGGTTATGTTAAATTTGACTAAGCTTGGCTCTGGGAATAAATTCCACTCCCGGGTCTGTAAGGGACATCGCGGACAGGTTTTTGTCCTCTGCTCTCAAAATTCACTGATATATGGATATACATTTGAAGCGCTGGACTGAAAAGTTGTTGTATAAACCTTAGCGGCTGTAAAGGCAGGTTCAGCTCACTTCGTTTGTTGGTCCAAGGGCTTGCTATCATCTTTCATAAAATACGTGAAAAAAGTTTGCCCTGATTTATGTCATGTCAAAGGAAACGCAACACGCAGCATACTACGTTGCCTCATAGAATAAATCCAATTAAGCGGTTTCTATGACGATGAATGGCTTACATTTTACCAAAGGCAAAAAGTCATAGGCACTGTTCAACAGCCATCAAAATAACCGATGAAAAATACTCACTTTCCGTTTCAGTTAACACGCGCTTTGATGGCTCCCCTAAGCTTTTCCCTCCCTATGGTTCCAACAGCAAAAATCCCCTCTCCGATGCCACCAATTAAACCTTCCATAAACCATTGAATAATACCTGCTATAATTAAACAAATCTTGCCATCGCTAAATCTTCTCATGGCCCTCCCAACACTCATTGCTATCTCGACACAGTTTCCAATCAATTTCATGATAATTTGGTTCTCCCTTTCATACTTCCACATGTTTACTAGTAAAACTTGTACATAAGGCAGCATGACTTGAACAAACAAAAAAAATTGTACGATTATAAAGGCGAGGGTTCGACGTAATAGAGAAGTTGGCTGAATCTTAGAGGTGATTGCTGGTTTCTTGGGCTTCTTTGAAGGATTGAGGTTTAGAGTTGTAATAATATTTTCGGGTAGTGCGGCACAAATTGTTGTCTGTTCGTCCTGTGTAAGATCCGAGGGAAGAGCATGAACCAGGTACGTAAGTGAGTTAAGGTAGAGCTGTCGAGCGAGACATGTACTGGCCACAGTTTGCGTCGCACTTTCGTCTATGGCAAGATTTAAGAGTTTGAGGCCTACATAAAAGGGAAAAATTAACCATTATTATATGGTTTAATAAGAGGTATTCAATATCTCACCCTTTTGGGCAACATTCCAGACAATTTCGTTTTCACTGGCTCTTGCAACACCAAGCCCTATACTATCTCCAGACTGCTCTTCTCCTCTACATTGGGCATCAATCAAAGATCCAGGGGTTCCGTCTTGGGTTTTCTGTCCACTTGGTACTGATTTTTTAGAACTGATCTTTGACATACTGCCGAAGCCAGATTTCTCTCTCTTATTATTATTACGTGGCTGTAACTCTTCACTTCTATATTCTCCTGACGAGTGAGAGGCGAAAATGAAATTTTTAACAGTTGGAAGACGTGGAAGAAGTTCCTGTACAAGGTGTGGTAGGAGTGAATAAATAGATGAGGGCTCATTACTTTTCTTCTGCTTTAAGTCGGTATGGAATCGAAGAATATCAGGCATTTCCAAGACTTTGAATGTTTAGAAAGTGGCAAATTTGTCACGGAGGCCTGTAATCACGGCTTTATGAAAATGCAAGTAATTCCGTACTGATGGAGACGCCAATAGGGTCCAGGCGATGGAGTGGGGCATATGTTTTTGTTGGATAGCTAGGATATCAAATGAACATCATATGATAGTAGGGATAAATTTTGCCCGAAGGATACGAGATTCTAGCTAATGAGCCTTGGATTGCATGTGAATATGAACGGACCTTTACAGATTGATTGAGATAGACTTATTCATGGGAAATTTTAGTGCACGCAGATTTTTTATCTCGTAAGAGTGTGAAAATTCCTCTTGAATTTTTGTGGTTAGACTCGTGTGGCTTGTTTGCTTGTTCTGGAGATATTGTTTCGTTGAAGTTGTGGCAATCACGCCGGAAATGAGACCACTACATCTAACCATTTGAAACAGGACTCGTAGTTACAAACTACATCACGGATTTCTGAAAAAAGGGCCGTTATTTGTGACGTTAAGCTTCCAAGTAGCTGACTATGCGTGAGGCCGGAATAAGCATTCAGCATATGGTACAGAGGTAAAGTCGAAGCTATAATTTCGTGATCATTTAAATATCGGCAACAAAAAATTAATCAAGTTCCTTTTTGATGAGATATATTCGGTACAGAGCCGTCCAAATTAGCAATGACAAAAAAGTTTAGATGTGAGGCAGAATTTAATGTGTATTCGCAAGAATTGATGAGATTATTTGATCATCTCATTAAGTTTTTCTCTTTAATAATAGAAGTATCGTTACTGCCAGCAGTTAAATTTCACACGATTAGGCTCATGAAGCTTTTGTTGTATGATCTTGTTGTCATGATATCGCTTTGTGTAAGGAGCCTCGTTAATTTACAGGCAACAATCTTCGTGTCTTTCGAATCTTCTCTATCGAGACAAGTGGCACATTAAGTTTCCTCAATAATCATATACCTTTTAATGAAATATAGAAGCTGTTGACTAGAATTTCTTCTGATATTGTAAGATTACTAAGGGATCGATAATTAAAACATGCTTCTTATAAGGCAGTCACGATCCTTCGGTTACTGCATATTTGACTACCTCATTACAATGAATAACAGGGATGTACATGTTGACCAAGATTTCATCGACAAATTACTTGAAGCATTCTGTAATGTAGATAATCTGAAAAGTACCTATTACAACAGCCAGAAAGCTTCTGTTCCTTTAAAGCAATGCGACAAGCATATCCTCTACCTTTTGCTCCAGCAGAGTTATCGCATCAAGAGCCAAGCGTGTGAATCAGACAAACCTTTAGACTGTACTGTTATAGAAAGGCTTGATGATATTATCGCTTTATCGAGGGAAAAATTCTATGCATACCCATACAAGGATGTTCCAGCTCACTGGCGACTCGTATATTGGGAGGCAAGTTTGCTGAAAGTGGCCGCACTCGTGTTGGGAGAGCTCGGAGCAAACGTTCCTCATATATTGAGCCCCTCCTGTATTGATAGTATCGTCAATACTATTGATATGGCAATTATTATGGCTGGGAATCAACTTCCTGTCCATATCCAAAAAGGTATCGACATGGTTATGGAGTCATTTTCAACGATAGATCGTCCATCAGTTATATCACGTACGACAAGCAGAGACAAACGACAGAGAATAGATGTTACTAGAGATTGGAGTGATCACTTTCCTGAAAATACTAAACAGTTACCTCAAATCACTCGTCAAGTTTCTTGGAAAAAAAACGTATCTTTTACCGCTTTCGAAAGGCACATAAATAATCCTTCAGATCCCGATCTAGGTGCGGAACCCTTGATAATTTCTGGATCTTTAGAACATTGGCCTGCACGGAACAGTCGCCCATGGAGCAGTCCATCTTATCTTATGGCTCAGACTATAGGTGGTAGAAGACTCGTTCCTATAGAGCTCGGTCGTAGTTATGTCGATGAAGGTTGGGGTCAAAAAATAATTCCATTTAAGCAATTTCTTGACACCTTTATAATTCGAGATTCGAAAACTGACGAAGTGTCAACTGGCTATCTTGCTCAACACGATCTTTTTTCGCAAATTCCAAATCTTCGTCATGACATTGCAATTCCCGATTATTGCTTCGCCTCTGTCCCATCTCCGCATAAATCATGCCCTCTTCTCAATAAATACCTAGAAACACCAAAATTAAACGAACCACTTCTCAATGCGTGGTTTGGACCTGCTGGAACAATCACGCCGCTACATACAGATCCATATCATAATATTCTTGCTCAAGTAGTTGGAAAAAAATATGTAAGATTGTATGCACCGCGAGAAAGTTCAAATATTTATGCGAGGGGTTTCGAAATGGGTGGAATTGACATGGGAAATACAAGCATCGTTGATGTTGGTAAATTTATTGGATTGGATGGAACTACAAGTGAGCAGGAGGAAGCTCGAAAGGATTTCCCACTATTTGAGAACGCCCAATTCGTTGACTGCATTTTGGAAGAAGGTGACTGCCTCTATATTCCAGTGGGATGGTGGCACTACGTAAGAAGTTTGAGCATAAGTTTTAGTGTAAGTTTTTGGTTCAACTGAATATACAATTATCTCGTTGGAACTCTATTACTTTTGTATTAGATTTTTACTTTTACAGTGGTCAAATGTACGGGTTGAAATTGAATATGGTCTACAAGTTCTACTTATAATTCACTAAATTAATGGATTGGTGATAGTTTGACATGGTATTTTGGGCTTCATCGGGAATCATATATTCGGATTAGTCTCACAGGTATATACAGAAATTAGGCACTTTGATCGTGTTATGCTCCAAAATATTTTATTACTGTCGGTTCGTAAGTTAATCACGTGCAGATAAAACGCTTGTCTTTGATACCTACGGAGGTTTGGCGTAATGGAAGCACTTACAACATTTTCGGCACTACTCGATTAAATCTCATATATGTGATTTGTAAAATGAGCTATGCTCTTTAGCTTTATTACTGTCGGTTTATCTAAAACGTAAAAGTTGATTTGTCATCATGTGGGGATCACATGATGACCTCAGCACAGAGGCGCTAGTCAGAATCCACAGTAAAGCTGTGAGTCCTGTATAGCGAAGACAAGACAATTACGAACATTTTAGGCCAACACAGAATCGTACAACTCTTTACTGAATCATTACGATCGATCATGAAACCACACCGTAGTCTATCCAACAATTATCTTGTAAAACCTTGAGTTCTTGCTTGCCATAATTAGCATCATAACACAATATATCATGTCATATAGCTCGGACGCTAAGCTCTGTTTTGTAATTTTATATATTGGTGGTTGAGGAAAGAAAAAGGGAGAGGATGGACACTAATAAACCAATTTTTTATTAGCGTTTATGAAGGCATTAAACCGAATGAACCCGGCAAAGACGGATTTTTAACCTTCCAGTGAAGCTGATGTAATCGCTCAGTATGCTCTGCATATCTGGGATAGCCAAGAAGAATCGCATCCTTCGCAACGGCAGCTTGCTGAGCGTGGCCCAGTCGATTTCGATTGACACATGGGCTAGGTTCCGTTCCTGGCACGATAGATCAGAATTTAAGTTTTAGTCTCTTCTATTCAGTCTTCTAACAAATTCCCGATTGAGTTTGACTGGGAGGACTTTACGACTCACCAACAACCCTTCAAAATCAAAGGTGAAATTCCTTTCGCTTTCAACCTTACTAACATTGTGTGCAGGACTGGGCAATTGCTCGGCCTTATTTTAGACAAGCGCCTCGACCGCGACATCAACATTCTCAACCTTTCGACACACTCCAATGACGGCGCGAACGAAGAAGCCTCACTCAGACAACGAACAATGTACGACAAAAGCTGGGGCACCGATGCCTCGGTTTTGAGCTCTCGATTTCGGAATTTCAGCCCTCTCAAATGGGGGTTGAGCGCAATGCAGGGGAGAATTTGGGAAGAACGATATGTGATTTTCAACAGGCTGCTGGCACAGTTGGTCGGGTGCCGGATGTACTTTCTAGAAGTGGTAGGTTGCATTCCTACACGGCCTGTTCAAGGGGGGAATACGGCTGCTCGTCGTGAAAGAGTACAGGAGGAATTATTAAGGTTTTCCCTCAATACATGGTCTTAGGATCATGGTGAATGCGTTCCTACCTATTCGACCCGATGTAACTAGTGTGAGGCACGTATTTGGAAAAGTCAGGCACCGGACGAGCTTTGCTAGAGAATGGAGGAACTTGTATTCTAGATGTCCTCCATGCGTGACACGTCCATTGGATGGAGGATGTAAGCCTGGCACGATAAATAAATCATCATCATCATCATCTACTAAGACAAGCAGCAAGAAGCAGCTCACGCTAAGCAATGGATAGCAAGCCTGTCGGATGAGACAGTTTGCGCTTACTCAGACGGCCCATCATGTGGACCAGCTAGATCGGCGTGGGGATACATCTTATACAAAGGAGGCCAGATGATTGGGAGTGATGCCGGTCCTCTGCCAGGGGCGGAGATGTACGATGCCGAAATCTTTGGCGCCCAAAAAGCCCTCGAAGGAGCGATAGGAAAAGCGGGCAGCTCTCCGATAAAAGTGCTCCTCGATAACTCCATAGCTGCAAGAGCTCTTCAAACCGGTCGAACGAAATCTTCTCAGGCGGTGATAGACATATTCACAAGACTGGTACGACGAGCCAGATCAGTTGAAATCAGGTTGATACCAGCCCACTCAGGGATCACTGGGAACGAGGAGGCAGACAGACTGGCGAAGGAAGCCCTCAGGAAACTCCCGGCTGAAACGACTACAGCTCCCTCAACAATTAAGGACGGACTTAAATACACCTTCGCAGCCCTCAACCGGTTTGTCAGGCAAAGGTGTGAAGAAGCGGTGGAATCCTGGTGGCTAAAACATAGACCTAGCCGCTATGAGGAGTTGGATCTCCGAATGAAACGAAAACGTCCACCAGAGCTAGCACTTCCGAGGTGGGCGCATCACCACTTGGTCGCAGCGAGGACGGGACATGGTGATTTTAGGAACTACCATGAAAGGTTTGGCCACGAATGGGAAAACTGCAAATGCGTTTACGGAAGAACGAAACGTCCCTGGCATTTGGCCGAATGTCGGATTGCTCTACGGCACTGGAGGGAAGAGGGGGACTATTCTCAACACCTGTCAGCGGTGTCCCCTACGAACCTCCAGCTCTCACTGTAGAGTCTGCAGAGCCGAGATTGAGTAACAAAGTCCTCACTTCGAAGAGGATTCCCAATCGCTTTCGCGGTCTATATCGTCTTCATCTCTCAACACATTCCCCTATCACCACTATCATGAAGCTACCCACGATCAGATCAGATGGTAGGGTCGGAGCTCTACTCATCACCAAACCTTGATCACGGAGGAAAAGCCATCCGATGAGTTTCCGGAGCGTACCCAGCACCCGATACGGAGATGGCGGATTGGATCAAGTCGGCCTCGACTGTTACAAAGAAGGGAGATATAGATGAATATGCGCACCTCATGTGGTCCCGGTGTCTAGGCCTCGCCTGGCTGAGGCTGCAGGATCTTTGAGACTTTTTCCCGCGCACGCAGTTTCCATTGCTACCATTTTTATTTTTTTTGGGTAGAAGGTTCCGTGGAAAAGGTGGCTGAATTCCACGGGTAAATACTGAGCTGAATGGCTATTCATCACGGGGAATATATCAATGATCTTTCAAGTAACAAAAGAGGATAGGAGCACTGTACAAGGTGTGGCCTGGGTCAGAAAGGAGCCCAATGTGCTAGATAGTCATAGACTCAAGTAGCACAATAAACACAAACAAACAAAAAAACTGGAGGGAAGAGAAGCATGAACCACCACCGAGTGGACGGGAGATGCTGGCAGAAAAGGGAGGGGGTAAATTTCTCCAGTTCTTAACAGTAACTAAGTGTTACGAGATGCAGAGCGCAAACCGGGAGGATTAAGTCCTGCCGGAGGAAATTTTCCACAGGACTAAGGGCCACGAGGAAGGAGAAAAGGCGCAGGGCGTTTTTTTTTCGAAATTTAATTAATTATCTATGTTTTCTACAAATAGTTTCTGAGAAGCAAACTATGTACCTAGGTTGTAGTGTGGCCCCAGGGAGCACAGACCCGTATCACGCCTATTGGGTGTAGGGCATAAGCCTGATACGTAATGTATTCAATTCAATTCAATCATCATCTACTAAAAATCACGTGGTTAGTGTCCTTGAATGAGGCTGGGCCTGAAAGATATTCCAGCCTAACCGAACTGGGCACAGCCCGTAACACGATATAATGACTGAGTAGGGTCTACAAAGCTAATGCTTCCTTGCGCAGACTAGGATCACAACATATCTAGCATCCTGTGATACATATAAGCATCTGTGCGTACCTGCATGCACTTTATTAAGGTGTTCCTTGCATTTCTAGGCTTCTGCGAGCTTTCCACAGTTGTGCTTAATGATCCATTATAGCTCACTCTGTAAAATTGGGAAAGTCTTGGCAGAAACTGTGTACCATGACGTGGCAAGCTCAAATTCATTGTGCCGTCTTGGGTAGAGTTAATGAGCCAGACCTAAGGGGTTGGTCTGGTGGTTGCCGGGTGGACCGTGGATCGCCACACTGTACTTAGATTCTCTGTCTCCATAGAATGAAACGAATGCCCCCTTCCCACTTTTATTCAAGACAATTTACTGGTGACCTGCACAGGGGATTTTCCTCGGGTCGTTGTCATTGTCTACTTTGATCTTAACTATCTACCTACTTTATATCATCGGTATCGAGACGTCAGGTGGTGACTATTAGTAATCGTGTCGTGTGGATACGGTCTATTTATCGAAGCAGATCATCTCACGCGTTGAATGGGAGTCAACTGTTATTGGGAGCTATCTCGAGTCCACAGGCTGAAAATTCATCCTGAAATTTAGTTGGCAGCTCGGTGGTCTATATACATATTACGACCTAGTTTTGTGCTGCTGGGTCGAAACGCGTCATCACAGTGCCTGTTAAAGAAACCCGTTTCGTTCAAGTGTTGACCCTCAAGTGTGAATCAATTACGAAGGCCCCATTATTAAGTTAACTTATCGGCCTAACATCTGTGATCTGGAATTGGTGTAGAAGAAGGTGGAAAAATAACAACAGAAGAATAAGGAAGATTACAAAGAAAAAAAAAAAAAAAAAAAAAAAAAAAAAAAACGGCTTTTGATTTTAGTGAATTGCGTGCTGAGTTGGAAAGAATCTGGATTGGTGAAGAGGAACTCGGAATGGCAAATCGAACACTCCCAAAGTTTGAACAGGCGGGAAGGTTTGTTGGAGAAGGAAACTCCGGAGCAAGGTGGCTGTCACGACTCGAATATGATTTCAGGACGGCGGGGCATACGACGGTCTCACCAGAAAATTTTTTCTTCGCGATTGATATCCTTTTTGAAGACGAAGCGGCAGGATGGCTTGATTCAACTCCGGAATTAAGGGCCTTCATTGACGACCGGCAGAATTCGACAGATGAGCAGGTGGCTGAGTTTAAACAACAGCTAATTGAAATGTTCCCCGCCAAGTTGGTAAATCACGTCGAAGGGAACCTGCAGAATGATATCCAGGATTTTA